TCTTTTTTTTTATTAGCGCATAGAGACTGATGTATTATGCGCCTTATACATCCATTGATTTATTGATATATGACCTTGACCTCGTAGTAGCATACACGAGTGCAATAAAAAAAAATATCAAAATATACATTAATTTGGGACTAAATACAGCGGAGTAAGCAAACGAGTTTTAAGATTATAATCACAAGTATTATTTTGTAAAACTTGTATATGACATTGACCTCTTAGTACGGTACAATACATGAGCACAAAAAAAAAATCACAACATACGTTTATTAAGGACTAAATACAACGCAGTAAAAGTAAAACTTGTTTATGACATTTACCTTGTAGTATCATGCACGCGCACAAGAAAAGAAAATCTCACATTTTTTTGATTTAGCATTACGTACGACGTAACGCAGTAAGTCACCTTGTAGTATTAGTCATCCATAATATGCACCATTTTACAATATGTTTTTATATCCATTAAAAGTTATAACATAGTTGAATCAAACAAGTTATTACAAAGTGCGACAGACTTTATTACAAAGTGCGACAGCTTAATTATTTCAAAGTGCGACAACAATAATTTCAAAGTGTGACAGATATTACAAAGTACTCCGATTATTACAAAGTGCGACAGACTGGTGGTACTGTAATAACAACATGTGAAACTAGAGGAATGAATGGAAGTGACACATGGCGATTTATGCTATTAAACATTTAATTGAAATACTTAATTAATGTAAATACAGTGCATGATTATCAAGCTAATTAGAAGTTATTTCAAAAACATAGAGATTGAAGGAAACTTTAATACCAGAGAAATTATTTAAGTAGTGCATATTACATCTAGAGTTTTATTTCAAAATTTAAGTAATATACACACTGATATTAATAGTGAGGCTCATTTGACCCTACCCTAACTTTAACAATTATTTCATATTCATATGTTATCTAAAAGAAAGATTTAAAAGAGTACACAACCAAAAAAATGTTTGCCTGGCCGCCAATGAATGTAATCAATTAGCAGGTTTTAATATCTCAAACATGATTCTTTTAACAGGAAAAAAAAAGTTGTGTAACAAAAATGCATGCCTACTTGCACCTTATTAATCTTGAGAGCCATTCAATAACATATGGTCAGGCTCAAGCATTACAGGGACAGTGCACCCCGTGTCATTTTCCAGATAATTGCATAGCAATAGTCACTGGAAAGCCAATCTTTTGGGAAATTTTAAATACAGTAGTCTTCTTAAAATCTAACGAAACTATTAGGTAATTACATTAATCTTAAAGCTTAATCTTATTTGTGGCACACAAGACAAGCCAAACCAGTCACTCGTCGCAAATCCTGTTTCAGAGATAATGACCAAAACAAAATGTCAAAATTTTGCAAATCTACTTTATTCCACTAAACTAAACTTTATATATCTATACATCATGCTATGCTCTTATTGTTCCATATTTCCAATGTTAGAACAACAATTTTTAACGATTGGGTGATGATTTCTGTCTACAAAACATCCGAATACATACACGAGTGCAATAAAAAAAAATATCAAAATATACATTAATTTGGGACTAAATACAGCGGAGTAAGCAAACGAGTTTTAAGATTATAATCACAAGTATTACTTTGTAAAACTTGTATATGACATTGACCTCTTAGTACGGTACAATACATGAGCACAAAAAAAAAATCACAACATACGTTTATTAAGGACTAAATACAACGCAGTAAAAGTAAAACTTGTTTATGACATTGACCTTGTAGTATCATGCACGCGCACAAGAAAAGAAAATCTCACATTTTTTTTATTAGCATTACGTACGACGTAACGCAGTAAGTCACCTTGTAGTATTAGTCATCCATAATATGCACCATTTTACAATATGTTTTTATATCCATTAAAAGTTATAACATAGTTGAATCAAACAAGTTATTACAAAGTTCGACAGACTTTATTACAAAGTGCGACAGCTTAATTATTTCAAAGTGCGACAACAATAATTTCAAAGTGTGACAGATATTACAAAGTACTCCGATTATTACAAAGTGATGATTTCTGTCTACAAAACATCCGAAATCGTAAACATTGAAGGCTGATTTCTCAAATATTGTTCCTTAAACAGCTGTATGTTTAAACTCTTGTAACTTCATAATGAAATGTTAGATTTAAATTATTTTTGTACCATTTTATAGCTCTCATTTTACTGTTTAACCCTGGATTGATTTTTACGACGAGTGACTGTTTTGTCTTGTCTTTGCCACATTTATGTTAGTGCCATCTAAGGGCACTAGACATGAATCACGATAGTAATGAGTGACATTTTTTCTATATATAATGAGTCTTGCATGACACTTAACTGTATTTAGTATTATTCTATCTCGGTACACCGAGAGTACATATTGCCCGGCCCCCAGCAAACACAAAACATTCGTGAATGCTCTGGTTTGGTATGTCACAAAATAACGTTCACACAACAATTTTATAATTAACACGTTATAATGCTGTGAAATTAGGTTGTAAGTATGTACTTATAGTTCTTTAAAATAATGATTTTACCAAACTGTAACGTTAATACAACGTTCTTATAACGTAATATTATTAGCTTTGTGTAATGAAACACTTTGAGAAACAGGGTTTTAAATATAATGTATACATTACAATGTTCAAAATGAATAAACACAATGAAGATACAAGCTTTTCTTTATAAACGTTTATGTACAGTAGAGCCTATGATAGGTCTACTGAATTTTCTCTTTTTAGCAATTTTGTTTTATATTTTGAAAAAATAGGGAAGTGGGAGGGAGATCGGGCCGGCAGCGCCCCCCCCCCCCCCCCCCACCCGCTTTTTTTTTTAAATCCGCCACTGGAACTGTGACATAATAATCGGCGCTGTTTTTTTTTTTATGCAGCGCCTCAAGTTATCGGTCCTCCTACCGCAACCAAAAGAATGATATCACAAACTCGCGATTTCTGCCTAGATAAATGGCTTTCCAATATAGTGACTTATGAAAAGCTGGATTTATGTAAACAGACATACTGCAAAAATGAAAACCCTTACACCGTACTACATGATACTGTTTGTCATTTAATCAATGACAAGTGAAAATTTAAATACAAAAAATAGGTCAGCATTGGGTATTGACAAACTGCGAGTCAGCAAGGCATGCGATTCATGCAAGCCATTCTGCCCTCGTGACCACGTCAACTGCAATTCATGCGAGGCAGGACGAAGTATAGCTGCAGTATTGTATTAAAAGTGCAATATTATACTATAGTAGTTAATATGGAGGTATAGTGACACAATAGAATATTACGTCATCATAATTCATAATTATTTATTAATTATTTTAATAATTTTATTTTGTACATAATGGGTTGAAGCATATGAAGGGGGTATATGAGGGTTTATTGAAATATTAAAAAACAAAAAGTGGTATTAATTAAGTGGCGATGTGTAGCGTGACGTGTTAAGTTTGTCATGTTCCCTTAAAATTTATAGTCTACTATTGTGTGCTCTTTAGAAATTGGTTACAATGAGAGTGAAAATTGAGACAATAGGGAGATAAGTCTGCCAGCTGGATTTACAGTCACAAAAGAATCTTCTTGCCCATTAAATTAATGAGGGTATTGAATTTGAAAACAAAAGGGTTAGGTTAGGGGATTATCGGTGACAGATTAGTGACTGTAAATTTAGTGACTATAGTTTGAATTGCCCGGGTGAATGAGATTTGGTGACGTAGCGCGGAATGGACGATTTCTATTGGCTTATGTAAAGAACGGTTTCTATTGGCTAAGATATGTCAGTGACCGCTGGTGAGTCTGTGGTTTGAATTACCCGCTTTTGACATTACGTAATACCTTTATTTTCAAAGTGTATAAATTAAAAAAAAAATAGACTAAGAACATACAATTAGTTTTAACTACATAAACTTTAGTGTTACTCTACGAATAACTATCCAAGAAGATGATGAACAGAAATTTCGCCGATGAACAAGACCTTTCTAACTGGAATCTCGATGTTAACGGGGGTTTTCTATTAGCGATGGCGAATGATGTGGATGAACTGGTAAGTTATCAAATAGTTCTCATTTCCTTTTAAATTTGTTAGTTTTTTGTTTTGTTTTTTGAATACTGAATAGAATTGGTTTTTTGTTTTTTTTTTTAATTCTGAACAGAATGTATTTTTTTTTTCAGTTTAATTTTACAACCGATTTGATTAGAATAACCGAAGAAGCTGTAGAAGAACAGTTAGATAACGAATTTTATGAAGATGAATTGGTAAGTAAAATTGTTTTCGCATCCACTCAGATTACATTCTCTCCCTCCTTCCAAAACCGAAGTTCTTGAGGAATGGTCATCACTGAGCTAGGTCCTTCCAGGTGGAATTTTCAAGCCCCGCTTCACACTCAGAAGAGAATGTTTACATTCGTCATCGTGGGTTTGTGATATTTTTTTTTTTTTTTTTTTTGTATTAATTTTTTTTTTAAATGTTATTTCAGTTTGACTTTTTAAACGATTTTGATGAAGAAGAGGAAGACAATGATTCTGATGATGACATACGCATTGCGTGTGAACAGGCTGTATTTGAAATTCAGAGACATGGACGTTTAGGTTTAGGAAAACATAGTAAATTAATAAATAAAGAAGATAATTACAACGCGAGACGACAGCACAGCCAAGGTAAATTTAAGAAAATGATGTTTGAAGATAATGATGAGGAGGAAGACGTAGAAAGCGAAGATTATAATAATGACATGAGACGGCAGCATGGTCTAGGTAAACATAAGAAGATGATGTATGAAAGTGAACAGGAAGACGATGAAAACTACCATGACGATGAAGACGTTATAGTTCAATACGGATCTGGGAAACACGCTAAAAAATTGGTAAGTTAACTTTAGCTTCTGCTTTGCCTAATTTGTTATGATTTAAAAAAAAAAAAAGATTTATATTATATCTACTTTTTTTTTTCTTGTATTTCAGCCTGATCGCGGAACTAAGAGAATGCGAGATACTGAATCAGAGGATAGCGACGAGGACGATGACAAGAATTTCAACGATATGGACGTAAGAGAACTATGCGTTATTCGGAAATTAAATAATAAATTCAATAAAAAATTTAACATGTTAGCAAGCGATCACTTGATTACACTAATAGGTTTGGATGATGTGAGAATTATTGAAATTTTGCCTTTACTTAATAGAATTCTTGATTATGTTTTAGATAGTATTTTGGTAAATGTTCAACCGCATGATATGGTTAGGTTCGTTATTAGAGCGAATGGTTTAGATATCCCAATTTCCTTACCATTTATGATAAGGGAACGAATAACTCCTGAAATAATTTTTGCGGCTATTTCTAAAGTCCTTCAGTCTCACATGAACATTTTAGTGGGGGACGATTTACAATTTAATATTTTACATATTCCTATGCCAATTGGTGGTGGTGGTAATCATTTTTTCAAAAAGGGTATAGATAAGGCTGTGGGGGGATCCCGGTGTTTGATTCGAATTAAAGACGAAAACGATGAAAACGTTTGCTGCTCTAAAGCCATTGTAACGGGTATTTCGATGTTAGAAGACAAAATTAAAAATAAATCTAGATGGGATAACATTAGACAGGGTAGATAATATCAGCAACAAGAGGCTGAACAATTATTACGAAGGGCTGGTGTAGATAAGGGACTTTGTGGGATTAGTGAGCTTAAACGTTTTCAGGATGTTCTACCCGAATATCAAATCATTGTGATTTCCCGGGAAAATCTTCACTCGGTTATTTTTAGTGGTGAACATAGAGAAAAACAAATTTATTTATACCATCACGATAATCACTACGATTTAATAACAAAACTAACAGCCTTTTTTGAAGTGAGACATTTTTGTAACCTTTGTTTTAAGGGATATAATAACAATTTTAACCATAATTGTAAGTTCGTGTGCGAGTTATGCCTCTCGCACGATTGCATTCCTTCTATAGATCCCTCTATCGTCGTCAAATGTAATGACTGCTTACGCTCATTTAAAAATCAAAAATGTTTTGATAACCATAGAACCGCTAAATCAGGTAGAGTTACCCTTTGCGATTCAAAGAAACTTTGTAAAACCTGTAATCGCTATATTAAAAAGGGTCATAAATGCAGTGAATATGTATGTAGAGTTTGTATGACGACGGTAGAGACGGGTCATCTCTGTTACATGAAAAAGGTGGTTGAAAAGAAAACTAACAAGGTAGATAAGAAGACTATAGAAAAATATTTCTTTTTCGATTTTGAATGTACTCAAGAAACGGGGGTTCATCATCCTAACTTATGCGTCCTTCAAAAAAGCTGTCTAAACTGTATTAACGATGATAAAGATTCTGATCAATGCGAAATTTGCGGGGATAAAACCAAAATTTTCTACGGCGAGGATTCATGCTATCAATTTTGCGAATACTTATTTAAACAGTATCCGTATAACCAAAATGTTACATGTATTGCTCATAACTTCCAAGGGTATGATAGTTACTTTATCATGCAATACTTACACTCTTACGGTGTTATTCCGGAAGTTGTTTCTAGGGGCGGAAAATTAATTTCGATCAAAGTTAAGGATACAACGATTCGATTTATTGATTCGCTTTCTTTCCTACCTATGCCCCTATCAAAATTACCTAAAACGTTCGGTATCAAAGAATTAAAGAAGGGATACTTTCCCCATAGGTTCAATACGATCGAAAATAAAGATTATGTGGGCTCTTACCCCGATATATCTATGTTCGATCCCGATAAGATGTCAGAATCGGCCAGGGGTGATTTTTTTGCTTGGTACAATCAGAAACAAAACGAAGTATTTAACCTCAGACAAGAACTCATTGATTACTGCATAAGTGATGTAGACATTTTAAGGCGATGTTGTTTATCGTTTAGACACATTTTTAAGCAAGTTACCACGCTTAACGATGGTAAGGATAAAGAAGGAGTAGATCCATTCTCTAACGGTTTAATTACCATAGCTTCAGCCTGCAATTATGTGTTTGCTAGGAATTTTTTACAACCAAACACTATAGCTATATTCCCACCTTCGGGTTATCAGACTATAGATAATCATTCATTTGCTAGTATGGAGTGGTTAAGTTATGAGTCAAAACAAAGGGGAATACATATTAATCACGCACGTAACGGGGGCGAGCAACGACTTGGGCCGTGTAGAGTCGATGGGGCATCTTTCGAACCCAAAATTATATTTGAATTTATGGGATGTCTATTCCACGGGTGCCCTAAATGCTATCGACCCGATTCTAAGAATCCCTTCACTGATGTAAATATGTCCGATACTTATCTAAAGACACTACAAAAATCTGAGTTCCTAAAGGAAAATTTCCCCGAGTTTGAATACGTAGAAATATGGGAACATGAATGGAAGGAAATTAAGAGATCGTTAACTCCCATTGAGAAACAAGAGGTACTTGATGTTCCTTTCATTCACCCTACCATTAATCCACGAGACGCTTTCTTTGGGGGAAGAACAAACGCCGCGCGATTATTTTACGAAGTTAATAGTAACGAAGAAATTCATTACATTGATTTCACTAGCCTATATCCGTACTGTAATAAATACGGAACATATCCTGTTGGTCACCCAGAGATTTTGGCATCCAAAAATATGTCAACGGATATAAATGATTATTTCGGCCTAGTTAAATGCACAGTAGACCCACCTAAAAATTTGCTTCATCCCGTTCTTCCGTATCGGAACAGCGGGAAACTTATGTTTCCCTTATGCCGCACTTGCGTTGAAATGCAATGCCAAAATACATGTACGCATTCTGTTGACGAAAGGGCTTTAACTGGTACATGGGTTACCACTGAAGTTCAGAAAGCAGTAGAC